AGGCCATCGCTCCAGAAATTCCTCGCATGTAGGCCAGGGAATAATATTTCCTCTGTGCCACTTCTCCACTTGAACTCTGATCCTGTGATAGCCTCTGACGTCTGAGACAGTTTTTCACGAAGCTAATCGGATATCCGTTAGATCTGAATAATTGGTATAAGTAGGCTAGTCCTCTCTTGAGTAGATACTGGCTGCTACAGTACGGAAAGGCGTGGTGAAAATGAGTTCGAACAAAGCATTTCTTGTGGGCCGCAGGATGATTGATCCTGTATTTATGCATATTTTTCATAAAATAAAATTGCATTTTTAAGAGCATCGAAAATCATCGAGAAAAATGCATGCAACTTAAGAAGCCGATTTTTACAGTATATAGTCTTTTCGCGTGCGGTCGGAAGGAATTTCGTCCGAAAGCTGGCATATTGAGGTAATTGAATTAATATTTAACTAGACTTCGTGATGGTTAGTTTTACAACCCTATTAATTATTCTTTTCGAACGAAAGCGCAATTCGAAATTTCGGTTGACATTTAATCAGTTAGCCCACCTACTGTAAGGCAAAGCCACCCGTTTTACGCAATGGATTCATAATCCTGTACCCGACCAAATTTCTTTCTATAGATTTTTGCACGACCGACAAATTCCTCTTTCTCCTGTACGGTGCCATCGTTTCTGCAGGTGGCCTTGAGCTAGATTCTAGGGGCGGGGGTGGGGTTATGGAGGTCAAGTGTTAGGGTTAGAAATTTTTAAAGTTCGCACTGGGATTGGGATTCTGACGTTTGGAGCCAGGGTCGGGGTTTGGAGGATGAGTGCTGTGGTTAAGACAATGAGGTTAGGTGTAATAATCGATGTTATTGCGTCCACTGGAATTATATGCAATACCACCGGCGGTAGAGGTACACTCAAATGCGCCATCAACTAGAAATGATTACACAGGTTAGGGCTGCAAAACGCATTATCACGCAGCATAATCCGAAGATATTCCGACCACGCCAGAATGTCAGCCTTCAAAAGCGGTCGCGGAAGTGGCATAAATGTCTACTTCGATTTTTTGTCTCCTGTGAGTTTAAAAAGAAAATATATGCACAGAAATATCGCCTTGCTGGTAAACCATGTCTTTTTCTAATTGCGTGCTTAAAAAATGAGTATTTTTCAATGTTTCAAAAGGTTTTTATTTGTTATATTTCAACTACTGTGAAATGTCAATGCAAATAGCATTATGTCTGTCCTTATAGCCACATTCATTGGAATATTCGCTTACTCTTGTATGCTATATCATTAATGGTATAGTGAAACATAAATATATTTCCTTAACTCACTTAATAGGCTTGACGAAACGACGAAACAAAACCGATCAAAAGCAATCCGATTGTATCCATCAAAAATGCATATTAGTAATGTTTATGATATTTTGTGTCTGCGGACTTCTGAAATTGAGCTGACATTCTTTTCTGCTTGGCATCTGCATGGGAATTTTTTAAACTGGGCATCTGTGGGCCTATTTTGCTCATTATATACTGTTTTTTTTTAATATTCGCTTGTCTGAACCGGAATAATGAGGCCATACTCGTACTACGATAGCACCGTTTTGGATTTAGAAAAATCTGACAAGAATTTTGCAAGTCATTCACCGGCGTTACAATTTTCGGTCATAAAATATCGCCCATGATCTTGTGGTGTTATCTGCTCTGCGCACCTATTTTTATCCACTGTAGACGGAGGCCTTTTTGCTGAAGATTTTAGAATGATACTTTCAAAATAAGCCGTCCTTCTCCTCCTTGGGGAGATAAGACTGATCTGATTCTTGGCCTAACTCAAGCCAAGACTGCCTGAGTAAAGTATAGTTGAAGTCAACACTTTTCTTGTTACGTCGATCACAGTTAAAGCGCGATCCTGTTTTCGTGTGCATGCTGCCATCTTTCTGCCCGATGTTCGCAGTTGATAACAGGCGGTTGGATTTAAAACAACGCCGGAGTAAGATCGGGGGGAATTTGAGGAAAAAACCTTCTTGCCCTAGCGTAAATCCCCCCTTCCCTCCTCCTCCTCCTCCCTCACCAGCCGTACTTTCAGCCAAGTGTGTCTTATTGTCCAACCGTTCTGCGTATTTCTAAGATCCTGTCCTTCTCTGCCGTAAATGCGCAGATTTGACTTGGTTGGCGCAAGCTCGCGGCCCGCCGTCCCTAAATGCAGCACAAATTACTGCTCCTCCCTTCCACCCTCCATAGGTGGCGCCGCCGTGCGACACCTACATACAAACAAACCTTCCCACGATGACATGAAGGAGGCGAATGACGAAGATGGGAAGGTTGGGGGCGGGGTGGGGTGGGGCGGGGAGGGGCCATGGAGCGAGTAACGTCCCCACGGCTACTCCCATCATACTCCGACGACCCCACCCCAACCACCCCCCCCCCCGATTTTCTGCGCTCATCGTACGCTCACGCGCCTGCAGATAGACGTGGGCATTACTGCGGAGGCTGATCCGTGGATGGCAGCGTGGTCACACCGGGGGTCAGGAGATTCTTGTTGGAGATTTTGCGTGCCAACTCGTAAGATAAAAGCGCCGGAGTGCAGAAGCAGAAGGTGGGAGGTTTTACTTCGAATGAACAGGGGGGAGGGGACGTAAAGGGGACTGGTCAGCAGAGGCATGATGAACAATAGTTATAAGACATTCTGACCGATCAAAAGCATACAAATTAACCGTTGAGTAGGTTCTGCTTAGGAACCAACCCTCCCCCACCTGGTGGTGAGTTTTGAGCGGTCCCTTTGTACACAATTTTCAACAAAATTGAGGGTAAAAGCTGCACTGAATCAGACTTAACTGTCCACTGATAGATAATGAACAGAAATCATTATGAAATCGCAACCAATGGGCACAGTTTATGGGCTCCTTCCCGCAATGCCGCTTGCTGCAAGTAGAAACCCACTTTTTAAAGGCTAGTCCACTAGTGTCAGGGGCTTCCAGTCACAGTCGATTTAGTCTGGCATCCCGACAAAACGTTCTCATAAGAAGCAGTCCGAAAAGTTGCATTTCCGTCGGAGAAGGAGAGACGTATATGCACTTTCTGAGGTCCTTCTTCCTTTAGCCTCTCTCGTGATCCGCCGACTGAATTCAAAACCGAATGACTATGCTCATTAGCTATGCTGGTGCCTTCTCGAGCTCTCCTTCCTTCGAGGTTATCATTTGAACGAGTCTGGCGAATGCGTCTAAAAGTTAAGTGCAGTAATTGTACATCAGCGCTTTGTGCCGCTGGCATGGCAACCAAACCGCTTTCAATTAGCTTAATTTGCAGACTGCCTTCACTCGAATTCAGCGACACCTAGAGCAGGTCAGTTACTACCTAAGAGACATTGAACTTATTTTCTGCATTATAGAATGATTTTTTATGCCATGTCCTCCTAATCCACTAAATTATCCTGTATTCGGTTAGCAGACATCCATCAAATGGGGAATAAAACCTTGAAAAGCGAATTCAACAACATGCTGAAGCTCCTTTCACGAAAATAAAACGCTGTGATTATAAAAAGGGATGTAATCCCTCACAAACCATGCAAGATGCAACCGTTCGGGTGTCTGCGAATGAATTATTTTTTCGCGCGTAGCAACACTTGGTAAAAAAACGAGTGATTTCTGACAAACTCACTGCTAGTTTATGGTTCAAAATCTGGTCATGAAAGCGCAAAATTGTTGGTGGGCTGATTGAAAAATAAAAAAGATATGTCATTACAAAAAACTGGATGCAAGTCATGTTTGGTATTAGGAATCAGATAGTGTTTTGGGTCGAATAAGGATGCATAATGGATCTAACAACTGGCGGTGAGATTCTTGAAAGCGACGCCGTCGACCGCATGTCCCACGGGGTAGACATACCGTGAAACTGCTGCAGACTCTAATCCCCCACCCATGTAACTCCGATGGCACGCCATTGTCGTGAGAGCGGGAAGGAGGAGTCGAGCGCAGTGATCAAGCGAATCTAACCAACTAGTCTACACGTCCCACACACGAGATGACTCTCAAAACATGTGTCAGGAATTGGATATCACGCGTGCGAAAACGTCGTGAAGGTCATGCTGAGAAGGAGCCCTCCAATACTTCAGTTAATTCAACGTACTCAGTATGAGGACTGAATTGTTCCGTCAGATGTTGAACGTCCTAACCGCGACTAATACCGTGTCGCGATAGCCTCAAGTGCGTCAGATTCAGTAGAGTGAGGAATGCCCTTAACTGTCGAGGCGATGTAACCTCCGCCTTCAGAACTGACACACAGCTTCGCAATACCTGACGCACACAGGTATACACGCCAGTCTCCACAATCAGTTTTCCTGAATCCCTCTTTGTGGGCAAATGCGCGAACAACACCGGCTCTATTTACACTGTCCACAGTGTACTCAATTGAGTTTTTGCTAGAGTGATGGAAGCATCTTCATGGAACTAATTACCATGTGCCTCAAATATTCTCCCTAGTTAGCCTAAAATGGGATCGGCCTTGCAAACATCTCTGTCGATCACGTTCGCATGGCATATGCAGCATGAAATGATAGTAAAGCATAACGTAGTAGATCCGGCTTAATATCTTCTGTTGAACAAGAGAAACAGGAACCTCTTGCCGGCTCAAACAGTGACTGGGGCCTAAGGATGGGAGGGGTGAGTGGGATCAATGGCTCGGCACATTTCCCAACTGTAAACAATCCGACGCGCTTAAAGCAATCACGGTACACTAAAAACCATGGCTTGGAAGGCTGCCAACTGACGGGATAACTTGGATCTCGCAGACGTCCCAGTGTTGTGTGTGTTTGTATGGAGCGGTCGACTGGTGGTCTAAGAGTCAGACTGCAATTGCTCCTCCTTAATGTGGCCTTTATCGCACTTCCACCCAGTGGGATCCGAGCCAGGTGTGACGGCATGCTTAGGATGAGGCTTCGGCCGTACCATCCCCCTCTATCGTTGTTGGTTAAGATCCTGGTTGTTTGGTGTGCATGCCATGGGATGTGGAGTGGAGGGTCAGGATGCAGGCTCGACTGTCCCATCCACCTGAGCCCACCGGCTTCTTCGCTATTCATGGCTCTGACCTGACACCGGGTCCAGGTATGGGAGAAGGGTCGAGTGCGGTCGATGCAGCGCAAGTCTACATTCATCATAAACAGAACTGACGGAGATTTGCACAATGCCTGACGCACGCAGGTATGCACGTGAGTCTCCGTGACCAGATTTGCTGAATCCCTGTTTGCGGGTAGATGCGTGATCAACACCGACTCCATCGACGCCGAATAGTGCAACGTGCTCATAATCCGCATGAATGGAACTCCCCTCAAATGCGTGAACAAATGTCTACCCGCGCATTCCAATCTCAAGAAGCTTCAAGATTGACGAAGGAATTGCAGTTGAGTTCTTGAAAGTCATCTATGTTATCGGCCATTTGCAGAACTACATCTAAAATCACTGTCGCCACCATCAACGTTGCTACTTCTACTATTACAACCACTGTCATCTCCACAAGTACTACTACTACTACTACTACCATCATCACAACTACCAAAGTGAACTCAGTTACAATCCCGCCTATTGCAATTATGCCTTCAAATCACACATAAGCTTGGTCGGGCACTTGTGAATCCATCACAATGGGATCGGCGAATCGGTGCAGGATGCATCAAGATACATCCACCACTGCCAACCCACCTGCGTGCATTGTGTACGGACATTCAGTGATCGCATAGGCCTATTTGACCATATTCGTGTTCCCAAATGTCCTCACGAAAACACTATAGTCCAGACCCCATCATTAACACCTTTCGTTCTACCTGCACACATACACACACCCTGATTGCACTCGAACCTACCCCATAACACGTGCACCTCTCCGGCACACACTGTGCACTGTTTTTCAGCAAACATGTGATTCACGCCGCTAGTGCTGGTATTGCAGGTAAAATGTGGCACGTCAGCACACGCATGCCTCACAAACAGGGGCAACATGCCTTCCGTTTAATCAGGTGACTGTTCGACCGTCGTTTCCAACGATGTCCACCGTGTGTGCTACAACGGGATAGGAGCAGGGACGGTGACTTGTGCGTGAATCAGTCTATAGTGACAGCAGACTTGCTCGCATCTATCACACCCTCCCCCACCTGGACCCGGTATCATGATAGAGTCGAGCAGATGGGAGAAGGGACTAAAACCCAGAATTAGACGTGCCATTATATTCTCCCTGGCTCACAACGTACACTGACCAAGATTTTATACAAAGAGAAAATTGGGATGGCTTGAATTTAAACCTGCGCCGCGGGGGCGTGCCCCTGGGTGTGACGCAACGTTACGAATGAGTATCACTAATAACGCCTGTCAGAGCCCGACCTAGTTGCCGTGTTGATCCAGCGTCAGCATCCCGTGTCCCATCTTAAGAACTATGTCGTGATGGCATGCATAGAGGGGCCGTTCTACCTTGTCAGCGACTGTATCCAGTCGCATCATCCGTCTTTTGACAGCCTTGTGAAGTCAACTGGTGCGTGGGAAAGCGGAGAATCACAGTTCGCAGACCGAACCTACACAAACTCAGCCTGTTGTTCCAGCTCTCAGTAATCCTGACATAGCAGTCGCTAACGCGACCTCGCAGTTCTAATCTGCCCCCCCTCCCCCAAAGAGAGGGGGGCATGCGGCTTGAGCGAACCAGTTGCATGCAACAGCTTCACCGAGAATAAAACTTTTTGGCGCCTTTTCCGATGTCTATCTGGTTCATCGGATCCCAGGGAGGCACAGGCCTGACATTTGTACCTGCGGTGACTTTTTGACTGTTTGAGCGCAAAAATCCTGGCTACAGATGGAGTCCGAGGAAAGTGGGAGCAGTTACAAAAGCTACAACTGACACGTCAGACAAAGCGCTCGAGCATCGAATCTTACGATGTCCACCGCATGCTCCACAGCAGGGCGAGAGTAGAGATGGCGACTTACGCATGATTTAGTTTAGAATGATAGTCGACGTACGCAACAATTACTGCACTCTATCCTACTCCCTCCCACCCGGATCCGGTGAAAAGGCTTCCGTTTGGGTTACCATGTCATACACACAGATTAAGCACTTTACATCATAATTGGGGCAGAATATGGGTTCAGCTTCTCTGGTTGACTCTCGCAGACAGAACGCGTTCCCGCTTTGTACTGTTCCGTTGTCAGGGAAACGCATCGATGCATCTTCATTTTTCGTATTCATTTGAATGCCGCGGTGATTTCAGATGTAGATCTCTAACTGGCCGATAACCTAAATGACTTTCAAGAACTCAAATGCATTTCCTGCGTCAATCTTGAAGTTTCTTGAGATTGGACTGCGCGGGTAGACACATTTGTTCAGGGGAGTTCCATTCACGCTGGTTTTGGGGCACGTTGCACTATTCGGCGTCGATGGAGTCGGTGTTGATCACGCATCTACCCGCAATCAGGGATTCAGCAAATCTGGTCACGGAGACTCACGTGCATACCTGCGTGCGTCAGGCATTGTGCAAATCTCCGTCAGTTCTGTTTATGATGAATGTAGACTTGCGCTGCATCGACCGCACTCGACCCTTCTCCCATACCTGGACCCGGTGTCAGGTCAGAGCCATGAATAGCGAAGAAGCCGGTGGGCTCAGGTGGATGGGACAGTCGAGCCTGCATCCTGACCCTCCACTCCACATCCCATGGCATGCACATCGAACAACCAGGATCTGAACCAACTACGATAGAGGGGGCTGGTACGGCCGAAGCCTCATCCTAAGCATGCCGTCACACCTGGCTCGGATCCCACTGGGTGGAAGTGCGATAAAGGCCACATTAAGGAGGAGCAATTGCAGTCTGACTCTTAGACCACCAGTCGGCCGCACCATACAAACATACACAACCCTGGGACTTCTGCGAGATCCAAGTTATCCCGTCAGTTGGCAGCCTTTCATGCCCTTGGCTTTTAGTGTACCGTGATTGCTTTAAGCGCGTCGGATTGTTTATAGTGAGGAAAATGTGCCGAGCCATCGATCTCGCTCACCCTTCTCATTCCCAGGCCCCAGTCACTGTCTCAGCCGGTCAGTTTGCAGGTGCGACGAACTACATACGCACTGGCATGCGTGCCTGGTGCCACTAGGATAGGCTAAGTACACATTTATAATGATGGAATCATAGAGGCAAGACGTTCTTGACATTTTTATTACAAGTAGATGAGTCGTAGGATTCAACTCAAGGGATTTGCTGTGATCGGCGGTCTGAAGTAGTTTCTAATCTATCGGGTTTTCGAGAGGATCCTCTTTCTCTTGTTCACCAGAAGATATTAAGCCGGATCTACTACGGTATGCTTTACTGTCATTTCATGTTGCATATGCCATACGAACATGATCGACAGAGATGTTTGCAAGGCCGATCCCATTTTAGGCTAACTAAGGAGAATATTTGAGGCACATGTAATGAGTTCCATGAAGATGCTTCCATCACTCTAGCAAAAAATCGAATGAGTGCACTGTGGACGGTGTCAATAGAGCCGGTGCTGATAACGCATTTGCCCGCAAATAGGGATTTAGGAAAACTGATTGTGGAGACTGGCGTGTATACCTGCATGCGTGAGGCATTGTGCAGCTTTCAGTCAGTTTTGCAGGCGGAGGATACGTCGCCACGACAGATCCCCGCCTTTGGCCTTCATCAGCATGGCGGAGAACACAAGACTAAGGAGGTCGGAAGCAGGCACATATCTATGCTTCACCGCAAATAACGACAATCATCATTTTGTCATGCGTTGTCGACAGCGACAAGACTGTAGTTTTTGGACGGGATTACGTTCTCCAGGTGGCATTTATAATAAAATAAAACTGGTGATATGTATTTGTACGTAGACGTGCTGACTCAGGAAAGATTGCCCGAAATTCCGAAATACGCTTTTAAGTCAAAAATATTACTTAGGTTAGATAGTAATATTTATCGTCGTGCAGCATAATTCCACAATGATTCAGTTAGGTTAGGATGCCGGCTTTTTGGAGAAACTTCATTTCGCTCGCCTCGAAAACTACACTCTGTAAAAATGACACCTTAGGAAGCATGAAGATCTCCTATGTATTTTCTGTTCCCTCATAAGTTCAAATATATTTCATAGAAAAAGTGCATAAAAATATTCTTTCTTTAACTCGTTTGAATGAATATTGGGTCTTTAAATTTTGAACTTGAGGGGTTGCTGTAATTTTGTATTTAAAAGTTTCTAATTGTGAGATTTTTCAATACCGTGACTTTTTCGTTCACTAACCCTTCTGTCTCTGCGTTTACTAATGCTGATGATAAAGTTTACAATACTGCTAAATTCTATCGCTAAATTTTGTGAATCTCATTTGGTCTCCTCTTAATACTATAGGGAAATGTATAGTTTTCCGTACACGGAATAATCACAACTTGTAGTTGGCAAACCCTAAATGCAAGTATGCCTGCAGGTCGGGTTCAAATTTACTCGGGAATTGGAAAAGTTTTTAAACCGATTTATACACTTTCTTCAAGTATAAAATTTGAAGAAGTCGTTGTTTCCTACCAGGCGAGTAAAAGAATGACTGTTCTGATGCATGTAAAATATAGTTAAATTTAAGAGGACACCGAAATCGATGCGAAAACTCCATGCTACCTATTTGGTCATTTTTGTGAAATATTTCTTTTGCAGGCGGCCGGACAGAAGTTCTTTCAAAAGCCGGCATCCTCCCGTAACATAATTATTGCAGGAGTATGCTGTGTGGGGATTATCTTTAAAACCCTACTTAGGTAATCTTTATGAGTCCAAACCGCATTTCATAATCTCGGCTAACATTTCATGACTTAGGGCATCTATTTTGCGTGCCAGATAAAGAAAAAATTTCGTGGTTGCTGTTGTATGAGTGTGGTCAAGATGCCTTAGTGTAGTTACGTGAGTAAAATTACAACAATGCAATACCTTTTCTACACCTGCAGAATATCGGTGAAACACGTGTCTGGGCTTTTAGTTAGTACCTATCTTGATAGTATGGTATAATACGTTCGATACATACATCTCATACTACTCGTAGTATTGCTAGATTGTAGAGTGAGCATTACGTGGTTATTCCATAGTAGTCGATTGTCTTAGACTCAGATATTCATTGAAATTTCAGTTCCGACCCTAAAGGTCATGTTCCAGGGACTTAACTCCATGTCCGGCATTCAGTAATTTCTGAAAGCATTCATTTGACTATCATACACATAATGGTAGGGGGCGCTCACCGATCGTTCATACGGAACTCACTCGTTCTGTTGTGCCTTAAGGGCTCCCTCTCGAGCCCAACCAGCAGCCGCACAGCGGCGCATCATATAGGCAGAATGGTATTGCCTATATCATGCACCGCTCTGCGGCTGCTGGTTGGGCTCGAGAGAGAGAGCCCGCAAGGCACAACGGAACGAGTGAGTTCCGTAAGAACGATCGGTGAGCGCCCTCTACCATTGAATATTCCTCAATCAAGACCGACAGGGCAACGGGCTCGTGGCCCAGTGAGTAGAGGAGTGGACTTCTAACTAACAGAACGCGTGCTCGAGCCTCGGGTGTTCCACACTTAGGGGTTGGGTATGACTGGCTGACGACGGTTGATAAGCCAGAAATGGCCATTACAGTCTCCCTTGTCTTTGTCGGTAATACCACTCTGCATATATATATACATATATTAATTGCAAAAGCAGTGTCCCTTTTAAATATATATATAATATATATATACACATTTATATATATTATATATATTAGTTATATATAATATATATAATAATATATAATATATATAATATACATGTTATATATTATATATATATACGGAACGAGCATGTTCCGTAACCTGATCGGTGAGCGCCCACTATCATAATATATTTATATATATATATATTATATATATTAGTTATATATGTATTATATATTATATACAATATATATAACTAATATAGATAAGATGGTACCGACAAAGACAAGGGAGACCGGAATGGCCATTTCTGGCTTATTAGCCGTCATCAGCCAGTCATACACAACCCCAAGTGTGGATCACTTGAGATTCGAACCCGGGATCTTTGGTCACGGAGTTTGACGCTCTACCATTGAGCCACGGGCCCGTTGTCCTGTCGGTTGTGATCGGGAATATTAATTATGATAGTGGGCGCTCACCGATCAGGTTACGGAACATGCTCGTCCCGATCACAACCGACAGCACAACGGGCCCGTGGCTCAATGGTAGAGCGTCAAACTCCATGACCAAAGATCCCGGGTTCGAATCTCAAGTGATCCACACTTGGGGTTGGGTATGACTGGCTGATGACGGCTAATAAGCCAGAAATGGCCATTCCGGTCTCCCTTGTCTTTGTCGGTACCATCTTATCTATATCTACTACTAGTCGCTGTGCGACTGCCTGCGAGGGTTCTAGTATGAGCCCCAAGGCACAACGGAACGAGCATGTTCCGTAACCTGATCGGTGAGCGCCCACTATCATAAATAACTAATATATATATATATGTTGCAAAAGCAGTGTCCCTTTTAAATTCGCGAATTATAGAGGATCAAGATTTGTAATACCACAAATTTCTTAGAGGTTCTGCTCTTTCGGTTAGCACAAATTCTCCCCGGAGTAAGTTACCCCGGTCATATACCACACTTTTGTCTTCGTTCGCCTCTACCTGTGAAAAGCGCTTTAGACATCGTTTTCGGAAGAGTTTTCCAGAATCCATCGCGGTCGAATGTGTTGAGGACCAATTTTAAGCCTACGAAGCCCATGAACTGAACTTGCGGGTATTTTTCTCGTAGTTGACTGGCGGCGAATATCAAGTCGGTAATTCCGCAGCTCCTTCGGAATCCACATTGGCATTCAGGGAGTAGCCTTGCTCTAGGCGATGGTTCAGGTGACTGAGTAGGATACGGTCTGAGATTTTGCCTGTGACAGTAAGAAGAGAGATGCTACAATGGTTATCAGAGAGTTACTGGTTCATTGTACAGGCCAGACGGTGGGGCGTTCTTGAAGTCCTGAGGAGGTCCGGAACGGTCATTTCCGGCTTTGGCGACCTTCGATGTAACTGCACTGAAGCATAAAAATACAGGTTGTCTTGTCCCGTAAAGAAATACAGAGGGTGGCCTAACATATAGAATGTTCCTAAATCAATGCTTAGTGTCGAATCAATCGAGCACCGACCTAAATGCATCGAGTAAAACTCTATATTAGTAATGAACGACCATTACATAGATGAAAATGCAAAAATCGGGTACCGGCAGTAATACTGGCTTGGTTGGAAATGATGGTCAGTTTGAGAATAATGGAAATGAGGAAAACACCGCAAATAGTGTCAGATGAGTTAGCTCAAGTTGTAGACGTGTACAAAGCCTGGCATATGCAAAGCAATGTCTAGAACCTATTTTTGCGTGTAGTTGTATCGTAAAGCGCTTTCGTTTGGTTATTCGTTGCAAAATTTCTCTTCGAAAACTTAATGTACTTTTGGCAAGATAAGGTTAGATGGCCCCAGCTGATGAACTGTTGAGGTTGGGACTAGGCTTTAGGGTTGGGGGTCAGGCTTTAGATTTATGAGTCAGGGCTAGGGGTTATAGTTGGGGGTTAAAGTTTGCCATTAGGACTAGGGATTGGGGAACTATTTCTCAACCACTCAAAGCACAACTATCATTTCCAATGGGTTTTCTTTTGCATACACTTACTCGAACTCTTCACTTTTGCGTTCCTCGGCCCCACCTGTATAAACCCCAACTACCACCGTTCCGTATTGCACGCGGCTGGGGTTTGTTTACCTGAGGTGCGGCCACATAACCATATATGACCGTAATTTTTCGTTTCATATAACTCGAAATGGATTTGAGGCAACGGTGACGCCTGTGACTGCATTTGCGGGTTCTTGTCCCATTTTCTTTTTGCCGGCCGGTCACTCAACAAGTAACATTCTGAGAACTTTCATTTCTGTAAGGTTCCTTTCGGTGAAATCAAGCAAACATCGGACCGTGTTTTACGAGAACGGCGGTAAAGGCAGTTTTACGGGTGGGTAGCACACAAGACAGTAAGCTGGCGAAATACAAGAAAACATTGAAATGGTCCAGGTTTTTGCTGAAAGTCTAACCATACGCATTCGTACGGCAACGTAAATGAACGCGTTAACTGGAAAATAAACAAAAATCAAATTTCAAAAATAGCAGAGTTTGAGTTATAATTTGAGTTTATAGAGAGTTATTGTAGTTAACGGTGTAAGATCTGCTGAGGCCAACAAATGGACGCCAAAATAAAACACCATATGAGACAGTCAAAGGTCTACCGTGAGTTAAGTGGAGCCCTTCACCCTACCGTTGTCGAGTTTTTGATTAAGGCAAGGCGATGTTTGCTCGATTCCACCGAATGCGGTCATGAACACGTGATTTTCTGTGTCAGGAGTCATTTTTTCTGAAAAATTACTGTGCGATTTTTGGGAGCAGGGAGGTCCGTAGATTTTTGAGGTTACCTGTTAATGTCATTGAACACTTCATGCTTTTGAGTGCTCTCAATCGACTGATCAAGAACATATGTTCTACAGTTTATGTCTACCAAAACCTTCAGGATAAGACAGTTATTGAGACATTTTACGTAGGCGGTTACTTCGTAGGCATCCATTTTGCGGATGGCAGCTTGGGTCATGACCTTAGACTCGCCCAAGCGTGAAAATTCATCGCTCGGAAAGGTAACGTCCACAACGAATGCCTGAAAGAAGTATGTTCTTGATCAGCCAAAGACCTCCGGTGATTTGCCTCATTAAGTTTGCTTTCACAGGATAGTGCCCTGAAGAAGGTCTGCGCAATTTCAAGGGAGAAATAGCAAAGCTTTTCCAAAATATACCGACAGTTTTTCTACCTCTGCCAAAAACCATATTTTTTCTGTTTGGAACCACTTATGTCATATTTGCTTGATTTGGGTTCTCGTTTGCCGACTATAAATGCGCTACAGTATAGTGCTTGAACTGCTACTGCTCTGACCTTTCTGTTCCCGAGAAACGGATTAGCAGAAATTAGGTGGGTAACGTTTTCGTGACTGATTGCAAAGTGCCTATAAAGGTTATAAAAAACAACTGTGCGTTAAAATAAACGTTAAGCTGTCGGTGGTATTACTGCTTTCTAGGGGGAAAAGTCGCGAAGATTTACAAAACTCCATTTGTAGGTAAAGAACATGTTTCTAGATTTTGCTCCAAAATTATGTGCTCATTCATATCCTGCTTCGCCTGACATGCATGCATCAAAAAAATTAATTTTCAAATGCTCAAATGTTCGCCCGGTAAAACTCGCCAGTTCTACACTAATGCACAAGCTTGAATAAAAACAGTAATTAGCATAAAATTATCTGAATGTGAGGCTTTGTTGATTTACACTCAAAGTTCTAAATCCCTTGCTCAGTAGACTAGAGAAAAGGTCCTTTTTCGGAGCATGTTAGGCAAGTTAGTAAAAGCTGAAACGTTTGAGATGCCCAGAACAGACCATCATCATGTCACCTACAATCTGCTCATTATGCCACTACAGCGTGGACCCTAGACCTCGAACGCCAAGATAGAACGGAAAAGACAGTAAACTCCTTGTTCAGGCGATAGCATCACCCTCTGGGCTGCTTTCTGGAACCCGTCTTTGCTTCTTAGCCTCGATTGCTGGACCAGAACATCCTAACATTTCACACCTACCCTTGAATCCATCAGCATAAATGCACTAGGTGAGCTAACTCATGAAATGTCAACCGAAATTCCAAAATGCGTTTTCTTTTCGAAAAGATTAATTAAGTAGGGTTGTAAAACTAGTCAGTCTGCAACATAATTCTATAATATTTCAGACACCTCAGGATGCCGGCTTTCGAAAGAAATTCTTTCCAACTGCATGAAAAAACAATACTCTGTAAAAATGACTACTTAAATAGCCGAAAATTTTCCCATCGATTTTCGCTGCCCCTAAAAATCAAATTATATTTCATGGAATAAGTCCGTAAAAATATTCATTCTTTTGCTCATTCGGTGGAAATTTAAGTATTTTTTTAAAATTTATACTCGAAGGAGGGACATAAATCGGTTTTTAAAAATTTTCTAATTGTAGGACTTTAAATACCGTGAAATGGCCGTCCAAAAATCTTCATGTCTCTGCATTTACAAATGTGGCTTGTAAAGTTAACAATATGGATCAAACTCACTGCTAAATTTTATGAACCCTAAATGATCTCCTCGTAATACCGTTGAGAAATGTGTGGTTTACCGGACGCGGAATGTTTACGGCTTGTAGTTTGGAAACCCTGAATGCAAATGTAACGGTAGAGCGGGTTCAGAATTATTCGGGAACTAGAAAAGTTTTTTAAAACCAAATTATACCCTACCTTCGAGTATAACATTGTAAAAAGACATTATTTGCTACCGAATTAACAAAAGATTGAACGGTTTTATGCATCTTTTCTATGAAATATGATTGAATTTTTAACGACATCGAAAGTCAGTGAGAAAAATTCACGCTACTTAAGTAGTAATTTTTTGCATTAAGTTTTTGCATGCAGCCGGTCGGAAATTCTTTCGAAAGCCGGCATCGAAATGAAAATGTATTTCAGAATTCCGATTGACATTTCATGAGTTAGTCCACCTGTTGTACTGAAGTCACACTTTTGCCCTAAGTGTTTAGTCCCTGAACTTGGACAATAAATTTTAAAGTATTAATTATTGCATGTACTGTAAGATTATGCTGATTATGCTTCAAGTCTTTCTACAGAACATTGTGTTAGCTTCTACTAAGACGGGCCAGACATCCACATAGTTGGTTACCAAAAAGGTTCTCCCGGTGAACCGTTCACGTGACCTAGGTCTATGGGGAATATGCATTGACAAACAGCAGATGGAGAATCTCCCTTTGCCAGGATATTTTTACATATCAATATTCATTTTCCTTATCTTTTCCCAGTCAGAGCCAGGAATGAAATTAAAGCGATTTGCTCAGTGAAAATCAAAAACATTGTCATTGTAAATTTTGCTAAATTCTAGGCAGAATTTTATGATTATAAATGCGCCACAGTGTGGCTATATAAATGCCAAAATATTTATCAAACGGTAAACGCAGTACCCGTCAATTCCGTCTGCAATTCCTATTGACTATAATTTTACGTCACAAAATGCAAGCCGCCCGTATTCAAAAACATGAAAAACCATTCCGGTTGATGACGTTTAACAGTTGCTTGTGTAATGTTTGTCCAAGGTTGCAAATTTGTGATGGTGGTGTTTTTGTTGTTTAGGTATTTAAAAATATCAAAGTTTTAGAATCAAACTTTTTGAAGCAGAATAGGCTTCTGTTTTTGAAAACAGCATGAAAATGTACGTATTCTACTCGCCAAACTTAAACAGGCGGAATATGGCGCTGACGGGGAGTATTATAACAAACTCTTCTCATTTTGTATACTGCCGTTTATATTACAATGGTGCAAGAAAATTCGCAGATGCGATCCAGAATATTTATTAGCGAAGAAATTGGTTTTGGTCGATTCTCCTCCAAACTGTGTACCTTTTTGCTAATAAAGCAACTTGAGTGTGAGAAACGGGCATTTCACGCAAAGCATTACGCTACTAAGTAAGATTTACGACACCCGATGCATCTTACACTGATCATCTGGATCCCGGGGTCAAGGTGGTTCGTCCGCACCCTCATCTGTTGTAGGCATTTTCTTGGAAACGCTGTTCTCTTAATGGCAAAATTTATTTCCTTCTTGGGTTGGTGGCATTCATGGGAATATGATTAATCGCAGGATAAGATGGATGAGAAAAGTCATATGTATGTACGTCTGGGAAGAAAACATATGTTTGCTTGTATGTGTGCTGATAGAACACAGCAGTTTTTATGCATAAATGGGCCGCAGATTCTCGCCCGAACAGTGCTATTCCTTTAGGAAGTTGATCCAAATCATGTGCTTTTTGTGATTATTTATAATCTTGGCTAAACACGCTTATCGTCAGAACACCGTCAGTATTCCGTCCAGGCCGCCGAGCTTGGAAATTTACAAAATTGCATGCACAAACATCTAACATCGAAAATCAAAACACTTAATCCTATCCCTAAAATAGACTCCGCGCCCCACGCCTAACCTTAGCTCCCAATTTAAACCTGATACGTCGAAAAACGGGTAATGTAGATGGATAAGAGGAACAGCATGAGCATTTATGGAGAAAGCAACTCAACAGCCAACGAACGAAATAGCCGACTGTTCAGTAAATATGTTTCACTTGCAAAACAGTATAAATTGCAGTCAAAAAATGGCCTTATTTGCAAAACTGTCAGTAAACATAGCTTCCCAAATGACATGTTAAACGCAGGCGTGGTACGTTCAAACAGTCCCTGCCTAATTCTGTCAATTTATCAGGAGGATTTTATCCGCTATCAGGCTCTTCTTCTTCTAGTTACTAAAATGCAAAATTTCAAGTGCAATTTTGAGTGCTTTCCGGGAAAATTAACTCTATTTTTCTAATTGGCTACTTAGCTTTGAGTGTTTTACGTCCGTTAGATTTCAAGCCTGCCCCACTTGAGTACACCGCTTGAACGCCAGGCGCTTGAACTTGCTGCCCTAAGTCCGAAAAAGCTACCACCGTCACGAAAGCTTTCCTAGGTACGACGTAATAGTAGGACGGAGGCTATTCTCGACTAAATTATGTGTACTGGTCGACGTCGAGAGTCGACATCATTTATGACCCCTCCGGGTATGTCTCGACTGTAGGGAATTGCCATTTGAGAAACTTTATCGCCAGTCCTGCAGGACATAATCCTAATAAAGCCTTGTGTGTGGGAGGGCTAGGTTCTAAGCTTTTTTCTAGATCATACACTCGAAAGAATTGCATATTAATTGGGTTCCCTGAGGATTGAGCGTAGTTAAGTTCAGCCTTCAACCACCGACCCACGGATTCGTTGTTCATACGGTTTCGGTCGGAAATGTTATGTCCAAAAGGACGTTTACCGATCGCGTTTCAAGGTCCGTTCGTCTCTGTATGCGTTGGGACTCGATCCACAGTTCCTCAGGCAAGCGTAAAGCGAATAATATTACAAATAAAATGAGATTACCGAAATAAACGAGGGAAACTGAATAAATGGGTGTTTTGGCTTGACCTAACGGTGAAAACATCGACAACCTAGGTAGGAGTTGAACCCATGACAGCAAGGGAAAGGCTACAGTATATCCAACGCTCTAACCACCTGTTGGTTTAGAAGTCACCGCCTCTACTCACCGGGCCACGAGCCCGTTGTCTTGTCGGTTTTCAAACGGGAATATACAATGTTAGGGGGCGCTCGCCGATCGTTCATACGGAACTCACTCGTTCCGTTGTGCCTTAAGGGCTCTCTCTCGAGCCCAACCAGCAGCCGCACAGCGGCGCATGATATATAGGCAGAATGGTATCACCGACAAAGACACCCCCTAAGGCACAACGGAAAGAGTGAGTTCCGTATGAACGATCGACGAACGCCCCCTAACATTGTATATTCCCGTTTGAAAACCGACAAGACAACGGGCTCGTGGCCCAGTGAGTAGAGGCGTTGACTTCTAAACCAACAGGTCGCGAGTCCGAGGCTCGGGTGTTCCACACTTCGGGCTTGGGTATGGCTGGCTGACGACGGTTAATAAGCCAGAAATGGCCATTCCAGTCTCCCTTGTCTTTGTCGGTGATACCATTCTGCCTATACATCATGCGCCGCTGTGCGGCTGCTGGTTGAGCTCGAGAGAGAGCCCTTAAGGCACAACGGAACGAGTGAGTTCCGTATGAACGATCGGCGAGCGCCCCCTAACATTATATATATGTATATATTAAAGGACAGACATAGCCAACAGTATAACTTGAGGACAAACAATTTATTTGGGAAAAATACCAAATTTTATTTGGCAAATTTTAAACGTTGGTTCCCAGGTCGTGGTCAAACGTCGAGAAGTCGGGCAATTGAGCAAAAATAGTTATCACTTTAAACTTTCTTACAAAGTCGATACTTGATTGAAGTTTGAGCTATTAAGCAGTTGCCTTGTGCGTCATTTTATATCGATTGGTTCCTGTCTGTTTCTTTTTTTCCTTGAGAGTCTTGTGCACTACATTTAAATCATATTGTTGATTGAAATTTAAATAATCTGAGTGCCTAACTTGAGGAACTCTCGGTCTTTCTTGGAAAACTAGACATCGATGATGTCGTTTTATGCCAATCATATTTTTGCTCGAAATCTAGGGTATCCACGGCTGCTTTGAACAGACGATAAGGACTCTTTGCCGATAATTCGTGATAGCGGATACGTGTAAAAGCTCGTTTTTCAGCTTGATCACAGTATGTTGCGTCGCGGACGTCACATGGGATTTTTAAAGGATTTGCCTCTTATCCAGATAGCAAATCCCCTCCTTAGGTGCACAAGCTGAAAGTATGGTGCAGTCATCGGGCTCTGCGCCGCTTGGGTGTGGTGTTTTCTTACGTCCTTCTAACTAATTCATACCCATTCGTTGTGCTTGGAAGATCCACCTGATATTGGGTTTGGGAGCCCGACTCGAAATTTCTGGTTCCTTGCCTTTTGACTGTTATTGTTTTATGCATTGACGTACACAATCTTCAAGGTAATCATTTGATAAATTAACTCGAGACAGGTAATTCAGCACGACCTGGTAAATATTTCTTCAGAACAATGTATTTTCGATCGCCGAAACAGCCCATCGACAGTACTCTGTTTAAGATAGATTGGGCAATTGCTCTCATAGTGTATAATGGCTTTGGCATAAATTTTTTGCGGTAAACGGACGCACGTAATGCTCTGTCAGTCTTTTGCCATGTGAAACCATCTAACAGTGGGAGTTATGGCCAAATTCTTTTTCGACTGTGAATTTATTTCCTGGGATTGTTGAGTTGCTGTTTTTGGGAGGGTTTCAGCTGATCTTTTTTAAATGACAACAGAAACCTCATCTGCGGCATAACTTGCAGTTAACTAGTACAAGATTTGAATATCCTAGTTTCCACACTCTCAACTCTACAAGAGGGGCAGATATAGGCGACCCCACTGAAGCTCCGTTCAGGTGTGGTAGAATTGACAATCAAATAAACAAATGATTTCTAAACATAGGGTTTTGAATTAAAGTAAAACAGTTGCGTGGACATCCATATTCGTCTATGCATTGTTTTATTAAATCTTGCGGTGAGTTCATGAACGAAGGATCAACGAAGGAGCTCGCTATTTAGCCAGCAGAAATTATGGTTCTGTAGAGTTTCCAGTTGAAGTTCCCCAATCCCTTCACTTCGAACTTTTGTAACTAGTTGCATCGATTAATGATACTATTGGGACTACAAGTTTACAGGCATTAGGCAGTCCATAGAGATTACAGATCCTTGGTTCTGTTTGTGTTACAGATTCCGCAATATTTCTGGGCGGTTGTTTTTCCCCTGTAAGCTGCCTCGTCAATTTATCAGCTGCTAGGCTCTATGGAAAGAGGTTTATAAACTGAACTACCTTTTTCTAATGACGGCATCTTTGAATTATGCTCTGTTTTGTTCAAAATCTCAGCTGTGCCTCCTTTGTCGTCGGGACGAATGACGATGTTTTTCCGTATTTGGTCTCTTTAGTGTTCCTCGCTCTTCATGCGATAGTGTTTAAAACCGATTTCAATTTTTGAAGCCTTGTATAATACATTAGAACGCGGTGTGCAAATCAATGCATGCCCCAGCTGAGCGCATTGTATCCAGGCATTTGCAGCCTTTTCTTATTGGTCATGCGCAAGCAGTGCGAGTGTTCTCCCACGCAAACTTGTTCGCAGTGCCCAGTGCGTGCATGAACGTCTGAGATACGTGGTCTCATCTCCTCATCCCTAGCTGACGTTCCTGTATACAGGTTGAGACAGGCGTCTCAGAAATCGATCTCGGGGGCGGAGCCTATGTAGAGCTTACTTTTACGCTCGTTATTACATCACGACAATAGCCACAACAAGCATAGTTTCATCTGAGTATTGCTGCGCTACGTCAACACACCACGTGAAGCAAATGACACCATACCTGGTGTACTTGCCTTTCCACCGTATGCTTGCTCTAATTTCTACACCGAAGTCAGTCAAACACTGGGGAACAAAGACGACTCAAAATGGAGATCTAGAGGCGTTGCCCTACATTTCGCAGTGTCTTAGATGCCGCTAAGCACTTTCTAGAATTAATTAGCATGATGTATCGCATGTCGAAACAGCCCTAAAGCTCGTTATCGCCCGAGGACACGCCCGTATAGGTCGGCGTAACTGTCTGCCTGACTGCTGTAGGATGACCGACAAACAAGTTCATGTGTGCTCACGATCAAGTCCTTGCTATGGGGCGCAAAGAGTAGTGCTCACATGCCGTTATGATCACTCTTAAAAACAGGTGATTGGACAGGCGCGGACCAAGACGATGCAGAAGCAGCCTAGCATTGGTACTTTGAATGCCACTCAAGTAACTCAAGCCCAGTATTAAGCTGTGAAATCAAGACAGATTGGTGAATTCTACTTTCAAGCATCCGATGGGGTGAGCCGTGGGAATAGTGACCTAGAATGTTGCTCTATGGCTAGGTGAACTCCGTATAATGCCCCATGGTTCTTTAGACCGTGATTTTTCAACCGGTGCTCCTGCACGCTTCACTCAGATTTCAGACCGTTCTCCCCACCTCGAGGCATTCAATTCTAACTCGGTGGGAACCACGATCCGCAGTAGTTAACAGACTTCGTGAACAGACTACCTTTGAGCAGGTATGGAGAACTGTTACTGCTCACCAGGGAAACTTTTTATGTCTTGAGTCTCCCCACAGGGGTGTTTTCACGTAGGTCTCAGATTAAATCACCTGCCGACCAGATCAACATCGTAGTTGGCTTGACAACCTCTATGTTTTTGAGTACTGCTGTAGGAGACCTAGTTTCACAAAGGGTAATTAACATTTGTTACTTCATGGGCTACTAAGAACTGACTTTTCATAAGACAGTTCGATCACAACGAACGATAATATCCCCCGACTGTCCCAAAGCGTTTTGAGCACTGGGCGGTGGCTTGAGTGTGAATTAGTTTCTGGTGGGCAGACTTGCGAAGTGTCTGTCACACTCTCTCTTCTCTCACCCATTTAGACCCGGTGACGACTGGAGGTGGACCCAGGCGCAGTAGCCGACAAAATCAAACGGCCCATGTACATGTGTCACACACGACTCGGACCGCACCAAAGTTGGAGCGTCATTGAGACCATATTCATAAGAAGTCATAAAGTCTGACGTCCTCCCCCCCCCCCGTTGATCACATACACTCAGTGTCGACCAGGATTACTGAGTTGCATAATCGGTTGACAGGCAGCCTTCCAAGCCCCGACTTTTGGCGCCTCGACGGTTAAATCTCTCGCCGCCTCGACAAAAATCACAGTTTCCATGTCAGTCTGGAGGATTGTGATTTTGTCGTTAGGAGACCGAGTTTCACAAAGGATGATTAACATCCGTTGCCTTTAAGATCTACAGCACGTCGATCATCACGAACGTTGATGTTCGTCATGTGCTCCTCGACATGATGGGCGCAAGACAATGGCCTGTGCACGAATTAGTTCACGGTGAAGTTGAATTTTGAATGTGTGACCTGGCACGGTGACGAATGCGGTCAGAACGACCCGTCTACGCGTGCCACTCACGACCCCGTTATTGCACACTGAAACAGACCTTCATGGAGGCTGGCTCGGATCCCATGAAATGAGGGATAGCAGAAATGTCTGCCAGGGGATAGACTCAGTTCTGCTGTGGTTAGGCACTCTTTCAAGACGGAACGCTAAGGAATATCCAACTGGATACCGTATCTGCCTACATCCCACAGATAATTGGTGTCCCTCACCCTACCGTTGCCTTGCCCTGTATGTCATGGTTAAAAATAATTCAGCCGTTTAAAGCATCGCGGGTATTTCTGGAGTTCAGATGGGGCACATGATGAAGGTAGAGTGAGTCCTACACGTCTCGCCATGCGGTGCGCTCAACTTCGTTACCAGTCGGTGGAAATGCCCGTAAAATCCAACGGTGTTTGAGATAGTAAACAGGTTGAGAAAGGCCGATTCTCTCATGCAGATACTACTTTTTTGACGAACTAGGCATTGATTCAGTGTGAAGAGACTAAGAGACTTTATAGGGCGCTGTTACTAGGACTTCGAAGTAAGATATTTAATTCGTGGGAATTTCAAGTGATACGGCGGCGGAAAAAATTACGTGCTGTGGAGGACTATTGCAGGGACAGGGGTGAGCTATAGCTCAATCTACTCTGAGGACCCGCGTCCCTTCACCTCCGGTCTTTTTGACTCTGTCTTGACACCGGGTTCAGGGGGGGGAGAGTGGGGATGAGAGAGTACGGTAGATGCTACACAAGTCTGCTATCACTATAAGCTAATTCACACTCAAGTAACCGTGCTTGTTGCACCTTGGTGTGTAGCACACGGTGGATGTTGTCGGCAACGACAGTCGAACTTTAAAAAAATCTGAAGTCTACACGTCAGTGCAAATATATCAGGTTCCTTGTCTGAAGTTAATTTCACAGAACTATTTACTACTACTGCTGCCAACTTGCTCTCGATTTTACAGAAGTCATTAAGCTGAAGTAGGCAGTAATTGCGAAACCCTTTTCCGCGACTTGCGTCTGGAATAAGCGCCGTCAATATTCCGCCATATCCCTCGCAAATGTATGCCATCAACGATGTAAGAGGCAGTTGTTAATATTAGTTTCCCAAGTGTCTGGCCCTTCTAGGCAAGTGTAACCCTCGATCATTTGATACAGATTTATATCTGTAGAACAACTAAGATGTATATCTGCAAAAAAGTAAGCCGTTAAGATTTATTTTGGGGATAAATTCGGCTAAAAGACTTCCAGCAGGATAGTGGAACACTAGAAGCGGGAGCTCTTCACGACAGCCATGCAGTCTCATAGACGGTCCTGCCCGAATCGATTACTAGTCCGATTTGAATCCATCACGCGGTGGGTACGTGGACCGTCCTGTGGAGGCTGCCGGGAGGTCCAGGTGAGTGCCCATCTTTTTTTAACGGCTCTTTAATTCCAACCATGTCTTCCAGTAAAAGGAGACGGGGGGTTTAATAAAACCTACCATTATTTTGCCAACCACGTTTTTCGAGTCCACGTCTTTTTGCAGTCTGTACTGTATGGACGTGATTAGTTAGTTGGGTATGCCAAGGCCAGCGACCCCGAATAACGATTGGAGAGGAAGGTAGAGTGCTTAGGAACAAGTTCATTAAAAACGTCACCC